TAATATATCGGATAAATGCTTGTCTTATTATTACTGGTCATGTTTTATTACCTCGATTGGCCAGGCTATCAAACGTTTATAACGTTGCTGGCCACAATACTCGCGTTTTCGTGCACACTATTTTAGCCTTGTCTTATTATTGATATTGAATTGTTGTAATGTGTTGATGAAAAAGAATAAGAATGGTGAATGTTTAAGACACAATCTGGTGGTGAACGAAGTGTGGCAACAATGCTGTATTTGATGGTGCTGCAGGAGTTGTGTTCAGTACCGTTTTGTTGTGTGGATGAGATTAATCAGGGTGAGATTTTATTTTACTCATTCATTTAGTCATTGTCAGTAAATCAAACTCATTACGAGTTTACGCCTCCTTGTTAGGTGGGATTATTATTATTATAATGTAGAGGAATATATCGAATTCATTGCAAACACAATCAGTTCGATGTATTCAATAAAAATCTTAAACTGAGGTGAGATTATGCAAAAGGTATGCCTGTGTTAGGTGAGATTATTATTATTATGGTAGTGCTTATTGCATGTGATACTCTAATCGTTTATGTTATTTATAGGTATGGATGAGGTAAATGAACGCCGAATTGTTGAGATGTTAGTCACGCAACTGTCCTCGACGACAAGCGCGCTGTCAAGAACACAATATTTTTTGTGAGTTTTATTGAGGATGTAATTTGGATATTTTTTGGCGAACGTTTTCAAATTTTCTGTTTGGTTTTCTCGACGCACTGTTTTCTCGTTCATATCATATCCATCGAGAAATTTCTTTTCACGATGCTAGGTCTAGATCTGGTCTTATTATTGGCTCTATCTCTGCGTATGTACGATTGATGTGCCAGATGTAATTAATTGTTTTATAGTGTTTAATCGTTGTTTTTTTTTCAGTTTTTAGTCGATCATTTTTTCAAGTTTTCTTCAGTTTTTCTGGTAGACTTATAAATGAAGTTTCCAGTAGTTTTGCAACACGGCCTTAAATTTCAGATTGACACCAAAACTGCTGGATAGTTTGCAGTATGCTGATGTGACTGCATTGTGTTTCATTCAAGCGACTGGAAACTTCGACGATGACTGACAATACTGGTTATTATTATTGTTATCAATTCGACGTTCAGATGCGAACAACGCATATGTATATTCGAGCTTGAGGAATGTTATTCGTTCTGGCATCATTACCTTTCACGGTTATATCTGATCTCAATCGCCTTGTCAATTAAACTCAATTTATCTCATTTTCACTGTTTCTCTAGAGTTGCCTTTGAATAAGTTGTATGATCAAATTATAGTTATCAGTTGTTGACATTATTCACTTATTTGATTTTGTTTATTTGTTCATTCATTATCGTTCATATTATGCTATCATTATTTATTTATTTTCATATTATGTTATCATTGTTATTGTGTTATTATTATCGTTCATGTTATCATTTGGTATCATTATTATTACTATCAGGGATTTTTTTGCTGTTGTTGTTGTTGTGCATTTAACTGCATTGTTTATTCATTTTGGAGAAGACGAAATGAATTTATTGAAATTTGTCGATTTTGAATTTTTTTTGAATTTGTTTTTTTATTTGTTTTAACTTGAAAAGAATGAATTTGTGAATGTTTCAATTCGTTTCATTGTTAATCGTAGGATATTTATAGTCGTAAATAATATTAATAATAAAGGTATATGTTCGTTATGCTCAAGTCTTCAATCGTTTATTAATCGCCCAGTTCGAATAAGTTACGATTTGATATCCCTTTTAAAGGCAGAACACGAGTTCTGTTTATTGTCATTATATTTCACTGCATTATACTCAAAACAGTTCAGTGTATCGATGTAATGAGAGAACATTGTACTAAACTTTGTATCCTATACACAGCACAATTTCACATAACGTTCTAAATGAGCAAATGACCTGATCTTATCATTCATTACAATGTAACCACACTACAACACATCATACTTATACCTGCTCAATGCAAACAACATTGTTTTCTCTTATTAACAAATCTTACAATATCATTTAGCTGTTCTTGTGCATGAGACTAGATGAGTATTCAATGTTTATTTTGATTCTTATTAGAATGTACTTAAGAATTTCCATCAGAATTTAGAGAAATGGTTCCGTTAGAATTTGGAGAAATGAGCGATTTTTTTCCGCGAACAATACTTCTTCTCAATAGTGATAAACGTAAACGCAATCGAGATTACATGTTTTTAGATTACATGTTTAGATTATTGAGATGACATGTTCATATCACTTGTTTTTAGATTCTTTGAAGTGACGAAATTACACGATGTCCAATTTCATTCGAACACAAGCACTTCTCTTCAAGTCACAGTTTTTATCTGCAACTAGAGAGCAATCCGCTTTTATCATCAAACGATTGTGTAGTACGTCGTCGAATGTGCCTGAATTTGAGAATTTGGACATCTCCACGCCACAACCATATGTCTATCATGTACGATTGAATCGTCCAGAACGTCGGAATGCTTTCACGGTACCGTTCTGGAAGTGAGTATCGCTCGTATTTCCATTGTAACCTTCAAGTCACCACAATTTTAAATCATCTTACTGAACTTATGATGAGTTCAATTGATGGATTTTGTTCAGAGAACTTCATCGAGCATTCGACTGGCTATCGACCAATCCGAAATGTCGTGCCATTGTCCTATCAGGTGCTGGCAAATCGTTTTGTGCTGGACTTGATCTGAAAGATGGAGTCACGGTGAGTTAGTGTTAAGGATTGCAAATCTTAACACGATTGCAAATCGAATCCAAACAATCCATCATCCTATCACTGAAATGTATCGTTTTCGTAGCAGTTGATTAAACATTATTTTGTATGCACCTTACATCACCCGTTGAACTCTATTCTGAATGATCAATTGATCAGAAATTCGTTATACTTTGGATATATGCACTTCATAACTTCATAACTCTTCCAAGGGTTTGCATTTTACTTTTACTTACATATATTTTGCCCAGCAAATCGATCAGAGCAATCTATCAATGAATAATTCTAATGGTACTAATAGAAGTGATCATGATAACTCTTTGATCAGTTCATTAGGATATTTTAGGGTCTGATGTCTATCATGCAAGATGAAAGTTTGGACACGGCCCGTAAAGCGATTCGAATGCGGCAGTTGATCACCACATGTCAAGATTCATTCACCTCTTTAGAACGGTGCACTAAACCGGTGATAGCCTCTATTCATGGTCATTGCATCGGAGCGGGTATTAATCTGATTGCGTGTGCTGACATACGTTACGCTTCTGAGGATTCAGTGTTTTCGATTCGAGTAAATAGTTGATTTCAGTTATTTTATTCACTAATTTTCGGCGTTTCAATGCCTTGCTTCATTACTTTTAGTCTTGTGTCTTTCGTGCACAAGAATCCTACGTGAAAGAAATTTTTGATAGGTTTATGCAGATTGAAGGTAGAAGATATTTTCAGTAAAATGGTTGAATGAGTTTCTTAGCGAAATGTGTGGAATTGATGAAAATCTCCCGGAAAGAGAAGGCATTCAGTTAGAGTTGTATAATATTTTGAGGAAGTAGATATCGGAATTGCTGCGGATGTGGGCATATTGAATCGAATCAATAAACTGGTCGGGAATGATAGTCTTACGAGGGAATTGGCCTACACTGCACGTGATATGTGTTGCTCTGAAGCACTCGAATTTGGTATTTATTTTATATCATCACAAGCAAATGCATAGTGCATTTCATATAGCACGAGACTGTTCATGATCATATCTAGTATTCTTTGAATATATATGAGCTGAAATCCAGTTATCCAATTATCCAGTTGAAATCCAGTTATCCTTTTTAATCAGATAATTAGATAAAAGCCAAATCATAGTTGGGCTTAGCCTCGCAACAATTTCTAGTTCAAAGTAACTAATTCTCATTTTCAGGTCTAATCTCTCGTCAGTTCACCTCTTCAGCGGATTGTTTAGAGGCGTCAATAAGGTTGGCAGGTGAAATTGCGAGTAAAAGTCCGATTGCAGTGCAAGGTACGAAGGTGACGTTGAATTATGCCCGTGATCATACGGTGGATGATTCGATTAACTTCATTCGAACCTGGAATCAGTCACAACTGCAGTCTAACGACCTTATCAAAGCTGCGATGGCCAGAATGTCAAAGGAAATAGCTGAATTTGATGATGTTTGAAGAAATATGAACGAAATGAAAAAACATCAAGTAAACTGTGATCAGATCTATGAATGTTACGTAAAAGATCATTAATATTAAGTTATTTGTAGGTGAGATTCTCATTTTGTTATGTGGTACTCATCTCTTCCTTTCTTAGTGTTCTGGGATTTTATGTATCACGATTGTGAACTATATCCACTTCTGTTACCTATCGAAACTCATCGTTTTCATAATTGTATTCTATTGTTGCCATTATCAAATATTCATTACTGCATTGTGTTTTCAATTGTCATTATGAGTCGTGAACTGAAATAAATTGTCGAACTACCTCAGAGTTACTATTGTCATAAACGGGTTCTTTTCAGTCATGAAATATAATATGATATCGTTATTGAGTAATGTTTCTGAATAAACCACTACCTTCTGTAACCGCAAGTCTTGTCAGTGTTTACTTCTGCAATAAACTCAAGAGGTCGAAAGTTTCTT